TTGTCATATTGGGTCGTTCTCAAAATCGTTTCAAGAAGCGTCTTTAGGTACTCATATAAAGATGCTTTTAACCTGCATGCTACTACGAAAACATGCCTAGAGGGACCTTTCTTGTAGTCAACTCAGCAAGCTTGCTAATATGTTAGAGCATTAAATAAGAATGAAACTCCTTTGAAATACTCATTGGGACTCGCCTTATTTACATTGTGCCAGCGCCCAGGTTCCAACGCCCAACATCATGGATCACCATCGTGAACGCTTGAATGAACCATGCATATAGATAGTATATAAACATTAACATCCTTTTTCTCAATCATGGAACTGTCGTGCAGTGTCTCGTCACCACTAGCATAACGCACGACGTTTGGTGGAGACCCACCGTCCTCTGTGGGTGCAGCCTTTAATTGGCAACCACCAAGCAGCAAGTCAGCAACACATGCAGGGGAGACGACCCGTGAGCCGAGTCGTTCGTCATCGTCGTCGTTTCCTCATTCTAGCTACAAGGAGACCGGCTGATGTACAAAATTGCACAACTTTTCAAGTAGTAGAACTTCAGGTTGGCTCATTTCTCAATTCGAGATTATATTATTGAAAAATTCGATGGGCAAATAAAAGAGCTGAGGTCTTGAGCATGAGGTGTTTCATGCGTCTACCAATAGGACATGCAAATAGTCTCCCTAAACTAGATCCAAACAGGGCCTAAACTGACGATGAAGGAAGCCTGCATTGAACAGCCCCAATTATTGCTGTACAGAAACAGCGGAAGCCATATGAACCGTAGCTCGTTGAAATTTGGCTGAAAAACACTGTTCTAACTGAATTGTTGTGAGAGAAAAAATACTGTTCGGCTGAAAAAACAAGCTGAATAGTACCGATTATAAGGTAAGCCGAGCGGGCCTGACTGCCTCATCCCTTACTCAAAGTCACGGTCACCCCAAGCGAGCCAGTCAATAATCAATAAACAACAAAAGGCAGAGCTACCTGGTATATATGTATAGACATCCAGTCCAAAGGGACTGGTTCTTGCGATGCACCATACGATAACTGTACTATTTCTCTCAGCTAAGCTAGGGACTGGTTTTTAGCTAAGCGGGGACTGGTTTGGCATATGAAGTCTCATTGTTTTGGACCACGGCACCACGTGAATACTTCACCTCTTGTCGGGCTTGGTGACAAAGTGGGCACACTTCACCTAGCGTTGAATGTGCTTATTTCTAGGACCCCATTTTCTTTGAGCAACTAAGTCATAGACCGCAATCGTTCAAGCATCCTGTTTGGCTCTAAGAGTCAATTTTGCCTAAGGCATGGATGCTAAGCATCTCTTTTTTCGTTGTTGAGGGACTAAGTTCCTCCGCTAACTAAGTCGGGACGCTAAGCGTCCAACTTCGCTTCCCGAACCTAAGTGGGCACATTTCACCTAAGGTGAAGGCTTAATTTTTTTTACTTGAGCTCCTTACATCCTTTCGGCAAACTTTATCTTTGAGTAAGTCCGGTGTCGGCCGACCAGTTAAACTGGTCGGTCATTTGATTTCTCGCTTTCGGCTTCCAGTTTAAATCGGTGGACGCCTTTCTTCTTTGTCGATCGGCTACATGTTGAACCGCTCGGACAAGCTCAAGGCGGTGTTGTTCAAAGCGGATACAAGGCGCTCGGGGACTAGCTATGGGGGTATAACCCCGGATACCTGAGGCTCTGAGATAGGCCCACGCCGCTAGGGAGGCACGCAAGTCGGCGTCTTGCAGCAAGCCTCACGTGAAGCCATCCTTGATGACGAAGGAGAATCTGATCGGATATGCTAGATATTGTATTCATTGTAAACACATATCATGTAACCGATCAGGATAGATACTAACCGACATGTAACCCTACCCCGAGATATATAAGACGGGTAGGAACCCCTCGTTTTCGCCTTATCTCATAATATAATGCACCAAAGACATAGGACGTAGGGTATTACATCAAGCTGACGGCCTGAACCTGCCTAAATCGTTGTCTCTGCGTTCTGTGTCACCATCTAGTTTGTATCTCGTGCACCTCTGCCGATTCATCTACTACCGTGACCATACCCCTCAGCAGACTGCCGACTAGATTTCGCCGACAGCGCCGCTCTCCCGCACCCCTCTGAGCCTCCTCCTCGGCTACCGTCGCCGCCATCTGGCGTGCGATGGCGGCAGCCCGCGTCGGCCCCTAAAAACGGGGTGCCGGTCACACCAACCTCCTCGCCTCCTCTCGCCGAGCCCCACCTCCGTTCTCCCATGCCTCTTCCCTCTCTTCTCCGACGGCTCCGGCGTTTGTGGGCAGCCGGCGGGTAGATCTGGCCCTCCACGGCTTGGATCTGCCACCCTCGCTCTGGGCTGGTGCGTCCCTTTCCCCCTCCCCGTTGGCACCAGCATCCTTGGGTGGCCACCGATCGGATTTGGTCCCCATGGGTCTAGATCTTTCATCTTCGCCTCGGGCTAGCGCATTGTAGTTTGTCAACGTGCTCCACATCGTGAGCGCTCCGTGACCCGACGTGGACACATGCTGCCAAGCTCCCCCTGACGCGACATCCATGTTGCGTTGCTCCTAGGCGTGTGAGCCCTGCACGCGCGTCTCCGTCATCCGGCCTACGAGATCCCCAGCGTGCTCCGCAACCCGACACGGACGCACGTTGGTGAGCCTCCTGTGTGACATCCCTGTGTGGTGCTCCCGGGTGTGCAAGCCCCCTACACGGGTGTCTTCCTAGCTGTCTGTGGGCCGGCCCATACCCTTGCCACGTAATCGGCCCTATGGGAATCACTAGAATCTTGGTCCATCATATATTTATTGTTGTAAATCATTTTAATGATTTAATTTATTTATTTATTGATGTAAATTAACTTTTATGTATATAGTTTATAATTTCATGATATATGTTGTATAAATAATGACAGATTAATTCATATATTTAATTATGGATTTTTTTTATTGATAACTTTATTTTTTATGAGCTATCCTTGTATATCCTTGTGTAGTAATTTTGTAATTAAAAAACATTGACAGAGCGAAATGGCTACTTGTTGCCTACCATTCTTATTTGAATTTCTTAGATCTATCATTTCATTAAATATTGTACACATCTTTTTTTTTCTAACGCATCTAGTGAGAATCAACGTGATACCTCTGTTGGGGCCTCTAATTAGTAATAGTAGGATTTGTATTTGTGTTTAATTCAAATTAAAATATATAAACAAGTGATATCCGGATTTGATTATACGAGAATCCGATCCGTTTCTATCCCTACTACTAGGATGGGAGGTGGAAGGACAAGAGGCAGGTTGTGGACGCTGCGAGCAGGAGGAGCATGAATTATTTGCGGCCTCCCATTCGCATGTGCCACGACCAGGATAATACTTGTGTACTACTACATCACCCCAGCCTCCGGATCCTCATAACCCCAGGCTCGCGGGTCTCCCCTGCTTGGCTGCTTGCTAATAATTCATGGCTTCGAGAGCATGAGCGACAAGGCATTGTGATGACGCTGCTGCTTCTAGCCGGATGTCCGCTTCTTCAAAGAGCGTCGCCATCTCATGCAAATCGAATTAGCCGTGGTTCTGCCTGTCAGATACTTTGGCAAGTTTTGGTAAAAATAAAAAAAAATTGTGATATCACACATGTGCCTAGGTGATCTAATCCTAGATGCAAAATTGATTACTAACATACTGAACATAGCAGCAAACGCATATCCAGCAAAACCAATGGTAATTTGGACACAAATTTAGAGAGTTCATTATCTTTTAAAATAACAAAGATTGCTATTTTAGATGCAGATGCAAATTTGGTGGTCATTTTGAATTATCTTTCACATTGGTAGAGGTGAGTAATTTAGGTACAGATTCAGGGGTTATTTTGAATTATATTATATTACATAAAGGCATGTTTGGTTAATTTGATAAAAAATTAGGGGTTGCTTATGTTCTTTTTGCAGTGATAGAGTCTAACAATGGTTATTATTGACAATTATGATTAGAGTGCAAAAGTTAACTTCGAAATACTTTTTATTATTTTAGGTGTTTCTAATATTATTTTTTCTTGCGCGTATTGAGGCCCTAAGTAATAATAGTATAAGATGTGTTTATGCAGCCTTCGCAGCTAGCTAAAATGCTCTCTGCGTCTCCGTTCGAGCAAATTCCTGCCCCATTCCTCAAGCTGCCCTCCCACCCACACCCAAACCCAACTGGTGACTACTGGCGCCCTCTCGCCTCCAGCAGACCTTGGTGAGATGGAATTCTTTTGACATAGAAATTGTTTCATATTTGTTGGACATAAAACGACCATGTTTCCTTCTGGAACCGTTTCCATCCTGCTTCTTCTATTTCAAACCGTTGCATTTTCTTTCACAGCATAAAATTCTTTAGTGCATGAACTCTGCTTCTGCAGTATAATCTGAGCACCGTTCATCACTTTTTCTGATCCCTAGATCCACGTACACATGTGTTTCTGGAATACTAATAATAAGTAGTGACCTTGGGAGCCATGGAGTTTGCCACAGGGGCGCTGGGCACCCTGCTTCCGAAACTTGGCCAGCTGCTCCAGGATGAGTACAACCTGCACAAGGGAGTCAAGAAGGACATCGTGTTCGTCACAAGAGAACTCGAGAGCATGCGTGCCGCCCTCCGCGACATTGGAGAGGTGCCACAGGCGCAGCTTAAAGAAGCAGTCAAGATCTTGGCTCGGGATGTTCGGGAGCTCTCCTATGACATGGAGGACATAGTTGACACCTTCTTTGTGCGTGTTCAAGGCTCTGAACCTCCCAGCAAAAGGAGCATCAAAAGATTCATCAAGAAGATGACAACTATTGTGGGGAAGGCCAAGACTCTCCATGAGATTAGCCAAGCGATCAAGGACATCAAGGAGCGTGTCAAGGACGTGGCCGAGCGACGTGACAGGTCAGGGCCGGGACATCACAGACTTCACATTTGAATTTCACCAAAATTTTCTTTTAGTTGCCTCTTTGTTCTTGTATTTTCATCTCCCTACACAGGTACAAGGTTGATTCTATTGCTCCTACCAAAACCTCAGTGGACCCTCGCATAACAGCTCTGTACACTAAAGCGGCTAGCCTTGTTGGCATTGATGAGCCAAGGGAAGAGCTGATATCGCGGTTGACAAGAGAACATGGTGGCATGTCGTCTGCTGAACAAAGGATAGTCTCTATTGTTGGCTTTGGAGGACTAGGCAAGACAACGCTTGCTAAAGGAGTTTATGACAAGCTTAAACCGCAATTCAATTGCACGGCTTTTGTATCAGTGTCTCGTGATCCGGACATTATGAAAGTTCTGAAGGACATTCTTTATGAGCTTGACAAGAAAGAGTACAAGGACATCCACAACACCGCATTGGGTCAACAGCATCTCACCGATCTTGTCCATGAATTCCTCAAAAATAAGAGGTATGTACTATCTTGTGTGGTACTGCCAACAGTAGAATTGTAGGTTACAGTCGTCAATGAGTATGTGTGGCGTCTGTGTGTATCTTCTTTCCATATTATAATGCCCAATGAAATTTTAACATTATGCTATTCAACTTGCATTGCCTTCTTTTGTCTTCACCATACCCCACCTAGTGGAACCAGTGTTTAACATTATTTTTGAGGCAGTGGGTAACTGAGTAGATACCTTGCAAAGGATAGAATTTAGTCTACTGTACTGAATTTGCCAAAACAAAACCAATTTATAGCGAAAGCTGCTGCCATATCATCCGAGCGCATACCATCCTAATGCTAACTGTGTAACTTTAGGTGTTTAGGGGAGGAATCAGAAAAATACTAGAAAAGGGTAACAATGGACTTATTTCTATACTTTGTATAAATTGTCCAAGCAAATTCTTATTACTTACCTATGCGATTTTTATTGTCATATATATGCTTATATTACAAATCATCTGTAACTATGCTTTACAAGATGCTCAATTGCTACATACTTGTAGGTACCTCATTGTTATAGATGATATATGGGATACAGAACCATGGGAGATAATAAGATGTGCTCTACCTGAGAATGTCCTGAAAAGCAGAATAATCACAACTACACGCATAATTGATGTTGCTGAGCATGTTGGCGGTTGCTACAAGCTGAAACCTCTTACTCACCACAACTCCAAAATGTTATTCTATGGACGGATATTTGGCTCGAAAGCGATTGTCCTAAACAGTTTTCTGATGTATCTCAAAAAATTTTGATGAAATGCGGAGGTGTGCCATTAGCTATTCTTACAACATCTAGCTTGCTGGCTAATAAGTCAAGAAATATAAAAGTGTGGTATGACGTGTGTGAGTCAGTTGGTAAGGGACTAGCAAACAATCCTAGCATTGATGGTATGAGGAAGATATTGCTGCTTAGCTATTATGATCTGACACCCACTTTAAAGACATGTTTACTGTACCTAAGTATATTTCCGGAAGATTATGCCATTTGGTGGGATCGGTTGATACTGAGGTGGATAGCTGAAGGATTTGTCCAACAAGGAGATGGGAGGCAGAGCTTATATGAGATTGGACAGAGTTATTTCAATGGGCTTCTAAATAGAAGCCTGATCCAGCCAGCAGACATGGATGAGGATGAGATGAATCCTTTTTCTTGCCGGGTTCATGATATGGTGCTTGATCTCATTTGCTCCTTGTCGAGAGAAGAAAATTTTTCTACCACTATAAGTGGTGACTGCATGCAAATGACATCTTCAGAAAACAAGGCTCGCAGGCTCTCTATCCACAATACTAGTTGGCCTACAATCAACATGTCAAAATTGAGGTCGCTTACTATCAGCAGTTATGCTTTAATTAACACTATGCCACCCCTTTCATGCTTTAATCTTCTGCGTGTACTGGATCTTGAAGATTGCAATCTTCATCATCATCCAAGTCTAGAGTTTGTTGGTATATTATTTCACCTGAGGTATCTATGCCTAGCAGATACTGGATATGCTGGCGAGCTCCCAAGGGAGATAGGGAAGCTACAGTTTTGCAGACATTGGACTTCCAAGGAACTTGTATAAAAGAAGTGCCATTGAGTATCTTCAGGCTGAGACAATTAATGAGCCTTGATGTTGGGGACAGTTCAAGGCTGCCAACCACAAGTGGGTTGAGAAATCTATCATCTCTGGAGCAGCTACACATGAATGTGGATTCTACAAACATTGCAGAAGAGCTGGGCCATCTGACGCAACTGAGGGTGCTATGGGTTATGCTCAGAAATTACAAGGAAGGCAGATGGGATGAAAGCATGTGCAGAGTTCTGTTGGGGTCCCTTGGCAAACTACACAAAATCCAAACTCTAAAAGTAGTAATCTCAGATGACGTGGAAGTTGATCTTGAACGCTCAGTGGACTCCCTGTGGAATCTATCTCGGCTTGTTATTTATGGAACCAGTCGGTTGCCGACATGGATCGATCCCGCGTCATTTCTCCTCCTATCCTACCTGCGCATAAAGGTGGGTCAAGTTAGAAGTGAGGACATCCAAGTCCTCTGCATGCTGCAGGCTCTTCGTGTTCTGGACGTGAAAGTGGCTGGCGCCAAACAAGTGTTTGAAAGGTTCATGATTAGGGCAGATGCCTTCCCATGTTTGACGCGGTGCAAATTCTCTGGGTTTTCAACGGTGCCATCTATGTTCCCACCTGGAGCTATGCCCATGCTTCAACGTTTTCAATTCTATATCCGAGCAGAGGATTTCGGGGATAGTGAATTTACTGTTGACGACCTGACCATAAGCCACCTTCCGTCCCTTCGTACAGTTCGGGTTCACCTTGATGGAGACGAGACAGTCAGTGATGAGTTGGCAATGAAAGTAAAAGATGCGCTGAGGAACGAGGCACGTGCCCACCCCAACCATCCTGAAATTTGTATGGGAATTGATGGCCAATGGATCCTGCTTTGCATGTACGTAATCCTCTTCCTTTTTCTGGTTCTTTAGCCGGTCCAATAACTTTTTTTAGCCACTTATTAGGGCAGCCTCAACAGTGTATTGATGATGGTTTCTATCCTTATTAAATGACTTGTCACGTAGGTAAAATGCTGATATGGCAACGTAATTAATGAAGAAATAGAGCAAAAATTCTAGAAATGGTTTCTCATCAAGAAATCAGGTCGTCTCTTGACCCAATGCACCAAGAAACCATAAAATCGCCATTGGAGAGAAACCACCAGTTTCCACGGGGCTCGTGCCACACTCCCATTGGAGAAAGAAGATAGAGTTGGGAGAGAGAAAGAGAAAATAATTATTACACAAAGACACATTCACTGTGGAAGGTAGTTTCTATAGATGATTTCTTGTGCTATGAAAACCGCATCAGTTTCTTTCATTGTGACTGCCCTTATTGTAGCTTGTCTAATAATCTTCTGCATGCCGCCATAAGTACTATGACATCGATGGATGCCCCTGAGTTCACCCCTACCTTACCATGACAAATAATCTTATTTACCCTACTATTTTATTCTAGTTTTATGGCTCTAAGGCCAGTCTCAGTGGGGTTTCATCAGAGTTTCATGGGTATTAAATAGGCTGATGTGGCACCGTATTGATGAAGAGAGAGATGATAAGAATTTCATAGGAGTAGAGAGAGTTTTATGGGGATGAAACTCTTCTGCACTATTTCCAAAATATGGATGCATTAATAACAGGACCATGAAATCCCCATTGAAGGATCCTTTACATTTGTTATGCTTCTAGTTACCACTTGCATGGATGCCCCTATGTTCACCCCTAAGCCCTTGTTTAGTTCCACCCCAACTTCCAAAAAGTTGCTACAGTACCTGTCACATCGAATGTTTGCGGCCCGTGCATGGAGCATTAAATATAGACGAAAAGAAAAACTAATTGCACAGTTTGGTGGGAAATTGCGAGACGAACGTTTTGAGCCTAATTAGTCCATGTTTGAACACTATTTGCCAAATAAAAACGAACGTGCTACATTAGCCCCAAAATCCAAATTTCTCAAACTAAACAAGGGCTAACTTACCATGACAAATAACCTTGTTTTCCCTACTATTTTATTCTAGTTTTATGTCTCTAAGAATCTTTTACATTTGTTATGCTTCTAATTATCCTTTTTATTCATTTGTTACTAGCACAACTGGTGATCGCACAATCTAGTTGTGAACTCTGTTTCTTCTTTGCACAGCGTATTCGGAAATCAATGTGGCCGTCCTCATAGAAATTCCGAGTTTATTGGTAAATGATGCTAATTGTTTGTCGTGTACATGTCCCAGGTAATGGTTCGATGTACATCGGTACGGCCTTAGCCACTACCTAGAACAAGTTCATCCATGATATATTCGCCGATGGGCCATTGCTTACTGTCTCCACCACGTGTGTCCATTGCAGTAGATTGAGCAAGAACCCCAGCATTTCCTCTGTTCGCGATCCAGCCTTACTGTGCGATCGACGTCAATGGCCATGCTTATTGCAGCAACATTGTTCTTGTGTATTGGATCATGCTCTCTGAATCTCTGTAGACCCACTTGGCTTGTTCTAGGTTTCAATTTACTATGACCTTTAGTAAAACTTGATCATGCCGAGCTGCTGTCTTTCTAGTTTTTTATGGGGTCATGTACGCACAATTAAGTTTGTGCCATATACTGTGCTTTGCAAAATTAATGGAGGAACATTCAGCTGCTTTCATCGTCACTTTTGTGTGTCTTGTTTTTTCTGATGCAGAGCTTCTCTTGGTTCTATAACCATGTACAGTGTACCTCATGCATATTGCAGTTTGTTCGGTACGTTGCGATGATAGCTGATGAGCTGACCTGGTGACTATGCCGGCCATGGTGAGTCCCAAATTAAGGCCCCGTTTAGATGCGAAAATTTTTGGCTTTTGGCTACTGTAGTACTTTCGTTTGTATTTGGAAAAAAAAAGTCCAATTATGGACTATTTAGGCTTAAAAGATTCGTCTCGCCAATTACGGGCAAACTGTGCAATTAGTTATTTTTTTTACCTACATTTAATGCTCCATGCATGTGCCGCAAGATTTGATGTGACGGGGAATCTTAAAAATTTTTGGATTTTGGGTGGGATTTAAACAGGGCCTGAACCAACAGAGCTTGATCTATATCTGTCACCATGGTCTGACGTGCAGCCCAGAGGACACTTGTATGCAAAATGATTGTCGTCGCCATGAAGAAACGTCAGCACAATGCTGGTCAGATTGAGGAATGACGAAGCCAATTTCAGAAACTTAATTAATAAGCCTTGTATCATCAGAAAACTGCACGACACAAGTGAAAGCAGCACATGCTTGTGCTTCTCACGATTCACCATACCTGCTGAAGACACCGGTGCTTCCAAGACCAGCGTTGTTGGGCAAGTCAAGATGATTGGCTGGGCCAGAAGTTGGAGAAGCGACTGGGCCACCAGAGACGACAAGAGGACTGGCAGGCGTTCCTAGAGATGGTGGCGAACTTCAAGATGAAGTCGTCCATGCAGAGGGCGTTGCTAGAGATGGTGACCACCTTCAACATCCGCACCGCGGCATCGTCAAGAAACCTCCACTGTACCTCAGCACCGACCACATGCGCCGCGACGAAGTCACGCACGGCTGCTTCGTCGACGCCTCCCTCGTGCGAAACCTAACGTTCGTGTTGGACCGGCTTAACTGCAGGTCTGCAACGCTGAGCCCATCGTGCCCACGGAAGACCGTCCCTGTGGGGGTGCGGCACGTATAGTCCTGGGCCAAAAAGAACAGTGTACGGCTTGAAGGATCGAATTGCATTGGGCCGTTCCACTAGCATACTACAACCCTGTTCGTTTTTCTGTTTCAGCACATTTATTTTTGCAGTTGTGCCACAAACAACAGATTTCCCGCTTTGGACCACCACCTGGCTGACGTTGTTAAAACAAGCGAGAAATTGATCGAGTGTAAAGAGCAACTTACTAACCTCGGTGCTCGCTATCTAAGTCCATATATGAGCAAAACAGCACCAGCAGCTCATCTCCTGGCTTCCAGCAAAACAGCACCAGAGAGCAAAACTCGAGCAGCAGCTCAACTGAAAAAATGCTCTCAACGGTAAGTTCTAGTATAGTACTTTTAATCTGCAATGTGGGTTTGCTATGAACCATTGAAGAAAAAGACAGTAATCTGTGTGAGTGTGTTAATCGCTGAAACTTCATCCAACTTGAACCCAAAAATTTCTATTTTTTCAGATGAATTTTGGTTAAAAAGACAGATCGTTATTCGAATCAGCTGTTCAAATTATTTTGCAGCGAAAAATCACTGAAAATCACAAAATTCGTTAATATCGCTGAGGTCTGGCTGATCGGCTGCACATAACACGAAGTTGAACCCTCAGACCATCGGACTACTACGTGATAACTTGGTATATAATAACGAAATCTAATTTTTGCATCCTTTTCATCTTATAAAAGACCAGTGGTTGCTCTGTCAGTTTCCAAGATATAAAATTCATTTGTTTCCATAGATGACTGACCACGAGGTCTAGGGTCTATACCTAATCTGCACCTAACCAAGATGCTTTACAATCTAATAGCAGCAAATTGAATTTGAGTATTGTTACCCATTTGTCCAGTTCACTGAAGATGCCAAGTAACAGACACAATGTCAGGCAAGCCCGAATTTGATCCTCGATCCTCGAAGGAGGCAGGCCAAGCAAAGGCATAGGAGTGCCTTTACTCTAGCAAGATTCGCAGTGCCACCTCATCGCCGTTAGTAGCTGTTTGGATGTTGGTGGCATCATTATCTCCCTCTTTTCCTACAGAATGTTACTGTAGGGGCAGCTCTAGAGCCTCTGTAGGGGCGGCTGCGCCAACCGCCCTTCCCAGGGTGTTCCTACAGAGGGTGCCTCTGTAGGGGCGGCTAGTGTTTTCAGCCGCCCCTACAGTTCTCTCTGTAGGGACGGCTGGTAATATCAACCGCCCCTGTAGTGGACTTCTGTAAGGGCGGTTGTATCACCAGCCACCCCTGCTGTGTGTATTTGTAAGGGCGGTTGTCGGTGTTTTGGACCGGGGGGTCCTCAACCAACTAGTGAATTTGAACTGCGTGCCCCTAATCCCGGATGGTGATGCAAAGAGACACAAGGTTTATACTGGTTCAGGCAATAGATGCCCTACGTCCAGTCTGAAAGAGCGATCTTGTATTCCTTGCATCGAGGTGCTCGTAGTAGGGGTTTACAAGGGGAGGAGAGAGGAGCTAGTCCCGGTCTCTGCGTGGAGCGGGCGTGGGCTGCTTGAGACGTTGCTCTCAGCGATGGGGGGAGAGCGTGTGTTACAGAGTGTTGCTTTATGCGTGCAGCGAACGTGGTCTTCGTGAGTGTGTGTGTGTGCTTGCTCGTCGGGTGTCTGTGCCCCCTAGAAACGGCCCGGTTGCCCCCTTTTATAGTTGAAGGAGAGGACAGGGGCGGTACATGAGTTTGCTACGTGGTGCATTGTGAGCGGAGGCGGTGTGTACGAGCCCTGTAGCTTGCCACTATGGCGGCATGGTTGATGGAGTGGTCTTGTCCTTGGCGCACTGGAGCGACGTGCCGGTCACGCCTGGTCCTGTGAGATGTGGGAGCTCCTGTGGTGGCAGGCGCGTCTTCTCCTGCGGGAGGCGTACTGGTTGCTGTATGTTTGACCGGCGTGGAGTGCCAAGGCCGGGTTGTTGCAACGGCGCCGGTGTGCTAATTCCGAGGATATAGGGGTTTGGCCCTGTGCGTGACGTGGGTGCAGCACAGCGCAGGGTATGGTGCATACCGTAGACGATGTGCCAGTCGATGTGTGTCGACAGCGTAAAGAGCCGAGGCTCAGTTGGTGCCGAGGCCAAGCCATCGTGGGGGGCTCGGCGGGTGCGAATCCTGAGGCTGCCGAGACCCTGAAGCGGATTGCCGAGGCTCGGAGGGAGCAGTTGGTCTTTGTACGTTGATTTCGAGGCTACGGGGACCCAGACCTGACTCTCCACGCCGCGTTGTCCTCGGAGCAGGAGTTAGGTAGCATAGTGCAGTACGGGCGTCAGCAGGGGGCACAGTGCCGAGCACAGTGGCCGGTAACCCCTGGCCCGCCCTGTCCCTGACCGCATGGCGTCGATGTGACTCCCGTCCCATCGGCCACTCTGCTGTACTGTGCCGACGCGCAGCTGACGTTGCGGGAGTGGTTGGACGCATTAATTGGACGTGACGTTCTGTCAGGGTGGTCGGTCAAAGTTGCGGCAGGCTTTTGCTGCAGGGGACCTTTAATCCCGGTTGGAACTATCAACCGGGACTAAAAGTTAACTTTTACTCCCGGTTGGTCCCTCCAACCGGGAGTAAAAGTCTACTCCCGGCTGGAGGCTCCGTCCGGAACTAGAAAGGGACCTTTAGTCCCGGTTGCTGTCTCCAACAGTTTATGTTGAATGCGGGACTTCCAAAAATTTCCTTGGCAAAATTTTTACCGCCTCCAACAGTTTCTCTCTCCTCTTCTTCATCCTTATCTTCTCAACATCCTCACGCCAGTGCTGCATCTCATCCTCTCTTCAGTCTTCACTCTCTCTCTTCAATCTCCAATCCACCGGATCTCCTTTTCCAAGCTGTGCACCATTGTGCGAGCCGAGCTACGACGACGGCTGCATGCCGGCTTGCGGCGCACTGGCCGTGCGGCGGTGGCGTCACGCGGGCCTAGGAGCTGTGTCTCCAGCGAGTTCGTGGCGCAAGCTCTTGCGGCAGCGGCACTCTAGGTGTAGTGGATCTGGCTATTTCCGGCCAGGTGACGTGCGCTGTGGTCGCTCTCACGGAGTCCACGCATGCAGCGCTTGCGGCAAGTCAGGAAGACAAAGCCCCGTGGAGCCTTGAAGTCGTGCTTGGATAAGTGAGGTGAGTACACTAGTAAAATTCATAATCTTGTTGGCCAAAACTTTGAAACTTTGTCAGAATAATGTATTTTTTTCTTTATATTCTTGTTGCGGTTACATGAATGAATAAAACATTTAATGGGAAGAACAAGAAAGATTATTCATTTTTTATGGGGAGATTGGTTAATTCTTTGCGCTAATCCTTCTACGCAGATTGGTCAATTCTTTGTGCGGGGGATGCATCAATGGATTCCGGCTGCAGCGATGAGCTCGCAACCCTTAGTGTGTTTGCTAGTAGTTGTTTGCATGGCCAGCGACGGTTTTTGAAGTCCCGGTTGATATTACCAAAACGAATCATCAATTGAAAATAGAAACAAAAAAAAAACATTTAGTCCCGGTCGGTAATAGGGCCAGCCCACGTGGCCAGGCCGGGAGGCCTTTTTAGCCCCAGTTGGTATTACCAACCGACATTTAGTCTCGGGCGAGAAACCGGAACTAAAGGAGGGGTCCTTTAGTCCCGGATTCGTGCTCCCGGTTGGGAAACCGTGACTGAAGGGATTTCCCAACCGGGAGTACAGCTTGTTTCTGTACCAGTGTACCATGAACATGAGTAAATATTGGGAAACTTGTTGTAGCCACAGCCGCAGCAAGTAGTAATGATCTGGCTGAATAGTATAGAGATGGGAGAAGGATAACTTCAAATTGGTTAGAACTCGCGAACTACTAACCTCAAAGAGCAGCAATAATGGATGAAGGTGGAATGATCTTACTGTAACTAGATGAGCACCCGAGTGCAGGAGGCGCAACCCATGTACTGTGACTGCCGGCGAGAGTACGTCCACTGCCGTGCACAGCCCTAAAGAAGAAGAGCAGAATCCCTAGGTCTTCTAAAATTGGGGGAAAATGCGAGATCAATGGAGGGGTGTCGAGCAGAGGAGGAACTGAGGTACCTGCAGTACCAGTGAAAGGAAGCTTCAGTTGGAAGGAAGCTTCGGTTGGAATGAAGCTTTCTCAGATGAAGAATCGATTCAAATGGAGGTGGCAGCACATTTTCTATCTAGGCCTTGTTTAGATTGCCTCAAAATTCTAAGTTTTTTCACTCTCTCTTCATCACATCAATTTTTGGACGCATGTATAGAGTATTAAATGTAGGTAAAAAAAAATAACTAATTACACAGTTTGGTTGTAAATCACGAGACGAATCTTTTGAGCCTAGTTAGTCCATAATCAGACAAAGTTTGTCAAATACAAACGAAACGTGCTACAATGTTCAGATTGTAAAAATTTACGATCTAAACAAGGCCCTAGTTCAGTGTTCCTATAGAAAAGGTACTGAGGCAGTGCGGGGAGGTAAATACAAAATGTGCTAAAGGACTCTGTACGCCGTACATCTGGTATCCAAGGATCCACGATCCAAGCTTGCAGGTTTCCACCTATTACTGAGTTTGCACTAGATATTTTCACTGGCTGGGCATGCGTTGACGCACTGTAATTCAACAAAACGCAAGGACGAACACATTTGGTTGGACACTCGGCCGGGGGCAGGGTCCCCAGGCAGCAGCACGCCGGCTGCCCGGTGTTTGGATCTTTGGGCTCTTATCATATCGAAATGTTCAGAGGTTAATTAGCAGGACTAAAGATGATCTAACTATAAAACTAACTGTAGAGACGTTGGGCTAAAGCCCACGACTGCGTGGTCCAAAAAAGGATGATGGGTCCAAATTCATTGGCTCCACCGAACTCGGGCTGGCTGGTGGGCGCCCGCCGGCTTAAACATCTTTTTTTGGGTTTATACACCGGCGGCCCTGTGCGTCTGTGCTAAAATGCTTTGTGCGTCTCGCCGCCCGACCCCATTGGAGCAAACCCATGCACCATTCCTCAAAGCCGGACAAAGCCCCCCAACTGCCCACTACAGGCACCATCTCCTCTCCTGCAAACCTTGGTGAGTCGGAAATCTTTTTACATGAAACTACTTTCATAATTATGACATTGAACGATGATGTTTCGTTTTTACTTCGACTGCTGGAATCGTTTCCATCCTGCTTCTTCCATTTCAATCCGTTGCTTTTTCTACTACTGCTTAAAATTCTTTTGTTGATGAACTCTGTTTCTGCAATATAACCTGAGCACTGTTCAACTCTTTCTGTGACCTCTAGATCCTCGTACGCTGCAAATGTGCTTCTGGAATATGTGTAGTCAGTAGTGACCTTAGGACCCATGGAGTTTGCAACGGGGGCGCTGGGCACCCTGCTTCCGAAGCTTCGCCAGCTGCTCAAGGATGAGTACAACCTGCACAAGGGAGTCAAGAAGGACATCGAGTTCGTCACAAGAGAACTAGAGAGCATTCGCGGCGCCCTCCGCGATGTCGGAGAGGTGCCACAGGAGCAGCT